GAGAGAGAGAGAGAGAGAGAGAGAGAGAGAGAGAGAGAAGAGGACTTACCTGCACCAGCGCCATAGCTGGCTCCGCGGTACCTGCAAGTTCAGCCATCGCCAGGTAAGTGCAGAAAGCGCCTAGCTTTCTTCTTCTTCTTCTTCTTCTTCTTCTTCTTCTTCTTCTTCTCCTCTCCTCTTCTCCTCTTCTCCTCCTACTCCTCCGAACTTCTTCTTCTTCTTCTTCTTCTTCTTCTTCTTCTTCTTCTTCTTTATCAGAGTAGAGATAGAGGTAACTGCAGACATTGTTTGGACACGGCCTTCTGCCTTATTGGACACGACATTCAGATCGAACTTACACTCTACATGGGGATTGAACTGTGTACGACATTCGGAGATCAGACTTGGGTTGGACTTGGTTACTATGTCCCTCCCCCTTCTCTCTCGCATGTCTATGGATCTCTCCCCATGTGTGTGAGCGGAAGGGCAATCTTTCTGATGTCTTGCCCTTCCGAAGTTTCTCCCTTTCATGWTGTCGTCCACATGTCCTTTTGATACTAAATCTTCCGCTGCGCTGCTTCCCAGCCTATGATGATAATGATACGAATGTGTTGTTGTTGATTTCTCGTTGTTYCACTCTTTGCATCGTGCACATKGACACCTTGTGAATGTTGCACCTATGCTGCTGGTTGTTGCCACTTTCGTCATTGCTAGATCCTAGGCTTTCAGTGCATTTCACTTTCTGATATGCTACAAGTGGTATCGGAGCTAGTGCGATGAATCTTGGCAGCAACCAATCAATYGATTGATTGATTGGATTGGCGKTKTGCCACCAATSAATCTTCGATTGATTGATCAGTCAATCAGGAGATTGATTGAACAATCGATCAATCAACCAGCAATCATCTGAGATTGATTGATTGATTGATTGATTGATTGATTAGTTGATTGATTATTTGGCAATATTTTTATCTTGGAAATTTCCCGGAATTAATTTTTTTTTTTTTTTTCCGAGAAATTATTTTTTTTCCGAGATTTTTTTTTTTTTTTCGAGAAATTATTTCTTTTCCCGAGATTTTTTTTTCGAGAAATTATTATTCTTTTCCGAAAAATTATTTTTCCGAGAAATTTCGTTTCTGAGAATTTTTTTTTATTTTTATTACCTTGTTCAAATTGTTAAATGTCTGCATTTTGACAAATTCGATTCTTTTTCTGAAAATGTCCCTCTACACTTTCACTGCGTAGGTTTGCAAATTCCGTTCTTTTTTTTTCAAAAAAAAATAAATAAAATGGCATTTTTTCCTTTCTGCAACCTACTCCTACTCTAAGTGGTAAAGATACTTCTTTTCTGATTCTCTGCAGTTTGAGCACCGAAGGTTCACAATTGCTTCTTGCATCACCTTCGGCACTCAGTGGGATTGGACTGTTTTTTTTTTTTCGAATTTTGATTTATTTCTTAATCAATTTTTTTTTTCTTTTTCTTTTTTTGACTAGGAACTGTTCAATTTAGGATCTATCCGATCCTTCCCACCTGTCTGCTGCCTACCTGTTCTTTCCCCTCCAGTCCGAATACTGCGCCAGTCTATCTGATTGGCCCATAGGTGACTCTTCAGAGCAGTGTTTGCCATGACTCACTCGATCACAGACCAAGACCATGGACCGGAAGGAGGGAGAATCCCTCCTGGCCTATGAGGAACGCCTGGCTGCTTTCATCTAGGAGGCCAATGACAGGGCTGCCGCCGCGGCCAAGGAACGTGGTCGGATTGAGCAAGAAGAGGAGGCCAAGCGACAGAAGGAAGAACAGGACCGACTTCGTCAAGAGGAGGCAGACCTGCAGGCGACAGCCGAACACCAGTCACGCCAGCGGGAACGACTGTTCACGCGGGAGACCGTGATCGGCGATGAGGCCGCACATTGGGTTGAAGTGGCATCTGCAGACGAGGCCCCGGAGACTGAGAAAGGGTTGTCTGCCCTTGCGCACGTCTCCCACGACCTCGTGGCCACCTGCGCTCTGCAGCAGGAGGAAATCCTTCACCTGTAGCAGACAGTGGACCAGATGCTCGCACGGCTGCAGGCGTTGGAAAAACAGCCAGCTGCTGTAGCAGCCGCAGGGCCTTCAAACCTTGCCACCTGTGTTCAAGTTTTGGAGGACGACGTCAGCAATATCAAGCGTGTGCATCAGGACTTCAGGACGTCGCAGCAAGCAACGAACTTGCAGTTGGAGACGCAGGTCCAGGCTGCTGCCACTGTGACGCCCGCCGCCGCATCCTCCCGGCGACCACCCAAACTGGATGACATTCCAGTTTTCTGTGATTAGTCCAAGACGGAACCGATCCCGTGGTGGCGCCAGTTTACTCTCAGGCTCGACATGCACCATGTCCCGAACAACGACCGACATCCTTGCTTGTACCACCAATCTGGTGGTGCATGTCAAGCATGGCTGGACAACATCTTGACCAGCCAAGGCGTAGCAGTGTCGGAACTGCACACCAAGCTCACTTGGCAGGAGTTGGCTGACACCTGGCACAAGCGATTCCAAGTGGAGCCGCCCGACCTACAAGCGATGGACAAGCTCAACAAGCTCCATCAGAACACGCTGCTCAGTCAGGACTGGATTATCGAGTTCCAAAGACTCGCCTCCACACTTGACCTGCCGCTCACATTCCGCGCCATCAAGCACTTGTTTATCATGCTCTCGTGTCCAGCTCTGCAAAACGCGCTGACGCATATTGCAGAGACACTTGATACATCTGACAAGCTTTTCAGCACAGCGTCACGGATCATTCTCACGAATATTGAAGCCCGCAACGCCGGCCGATCTTCCGCGACGACGAGCGGCACSCAGCCCAAGCCAAAGGTGGCTTGCATTACTTCTACCGAGGCTGCAACACCAAACGAGGGTGAAGTGTTGGCAGCTGCCCGGGATGGTGGCCGGCCGCGCAACAACCACGGCCGCGACAAGATGAAGACTTAGTCCACCTCTACACCGAGTACCGGATCAGCCGCCAACGAACCTTGGGCGCAATACGGACTCTCGGTGAATTCTTATCGCACGTGACTCAAGTACCGTTATTGCCTTTGGTGCAACAGCACCATCCACGATGCTGCACATTGCCCCACCAAGGGGAAACCCCGTCCGGGAAAGTAGGCGCCGCCGAGGGTGACTCGACACCTCCCTCGACGCCATCGGAAGCGGTTGTGGCCACGACCGCCCAGTCTTCCGAGGCATATGTGGATGTCGGGAGTCTTCCACTTTCGTTCGAAGACTTCGCTGCCCGGCTTGTTCCTTCACTGGATGCTTCTCAAGGACAAGATACATGTGCGGCTTTCTCACCGTCCGAAGGTTCTTCCGCCAGTTCGTCTTCATCAAGGGATTCGACAAGCGTGTTCAACGAGGAGGCTTTGGACCCGCTCACGCCCGAGGATTTCGCTTGGGTTCCTCTCCCTACGACGGGCAATCTTCCGGGGCCGCAAAGCGCAGCCCTATGCGTCCTCTTACACGAGTATCTTTCCTTCCATGCACCACCAACTTCGCCGACGGTAGACGAAATCGCGGTGGGGGACATGCTTGGCTACGTTGCCAAGGTGGCCCGCGAGTTTGTCTCGCAACGGTACGCAGAAAATAACGCACCGTTGCTCTATGTTCGCATTCAGATTGGGCAAGCGGCCTGCAACGCTTTGCTAGATTGCGGCGCAACTCGCAACTTCATCAGCCATTCCTTCATGACTCAGGCTGGCCTTGGCGCACAAGTACGGAGGAAGTCACATCCGACGACGGTCGCTCTTGCCGACGGTAAGACGAAACAACTTTTAGACCGTTACATCTTGGCTGTCCCGGTGTACTTTGCACCGCACGCATGTGATTCGTCACTTTTGACGTGTTGGACACCGACTTCGATGTCATTTTGGGGATGCCTTGGCTCTCTAGCGCGGACCACACGGCGCTCACAATTCGTGATGCAACTGGCGCCGAGGTCCCGTGTACTATTCCTCCTCCTCGCTCTTCCATTCGGTGCCAAGTCGTGAGTGCCAAATCTTTTCGAGACACATGCTGTTCCGAGCGTGTCGAAGAGATTGACATCACTTTTCTTCGAACCGTCCCGACGACCGATTCATCATCCACGGATGTATCTTCCGACCCTCGTGTGACCCGGTTGTTGGACGAGTTCTCGGATGTTTTTGAGACACCCTCCGGTATAGTGCCGTACCGGCCAATCTCTCACGAGATCATACTTGAGGCCGGTGCCGTGCCACCGAAGGGATGCATTTATCGCATGTCCGAGGAGGAGCTCACGGTTCTCCGTGCGCAACTCGACGATCTACTTGACAAGGGTTGGATCCGCCCTAGCAGCTCACCTTACGGTGCGCCCGTTCTCTTCGTTCGGAAGAAGAACAAGGACCTTCAACTTTGCATTGACTACCGACGCCTCAACGCGCAAACCATTAAGAACGCGGGGCCTATACCTCGCATTGACGATTTGCTTGAGCGGTTGGGCGGCGCCAAGTACTTTTCCAAGTTGGAGCTCAAGTCGGGCTACCATCAGATTTCCATCCGCCCGCAAGATCGGTACAAAATCGCGTTTAAGACGCGATATGGGCATTTTGAGTGGGTAGTTATGCCTTTTGGCCTCACCAATGCCCCGGCCACCTTTCAGGCGGCCATGATCACCGAGTTTCGCGCTATGTTGGACCGCTTCGTCTTGGTCTACTTAGACGACATCCTCGTCTATAGCCGAACTCTAGAGGAGCATCTCGAGCACCTACGCCGTGTTCTAGAGACTCTTCGGTCATCCCGGTACAAAGCTAACTGCGACAAATGCGAGTTTGTCCAGCAAGAGCTTGAATACTTGGGTCATTTTGTCTCTCCGGAAGACATTCGTCCGTTGGCGGACAAGATTCAAGCCATCCAGGAGTGGCTCGAGCTAAAGAATGTGACGGACGTCCGATCCTTCCTCGGCTTGGCCGGTTATTATCAGCGTTTCATCAAGAGTTACTCGAAGATCGTGGCCAACCTAAGCAAGTTACAAAGCGAGGAGCGGCCTTTTGACTTCGATGACGATGAGCGCCATTCTTTTGAAGCACTCAAAGCGGCACTCTTATCCGCCGAGGTGTTACATATTTACGACCCGCTTCTAGCTACGCGCATCACTACCGATGCGTCGGGCTATGGCATTGGGGCCGTCCTTGAGCAGCACGATGGCACGGACTGGCACCCGGTCGAGTACTTTAGCAAGAAAGTACCTCCCGTGCATTCGATCGACGATGCACGGAAGAAGGAGCTTCTTGCCTTCCTCCACGCCCTCAAGCGTTGGTGACATTTCCTCCTTGGTCGGAAAGCATTCCGATGGGTAACGGATAACAATCCGTTGGTATTCTACAAGTCGCAAGACACGATTAACAATACTATTGCCCGATGGATGGCTTTCATCGACCAGTTTGACTTTTTCCCCGATCACATTCCCGGGAAGTCAAACCGTTTTGCGGACGCCCTCTCACGGTGACCGGATCTTTGCACCGTAGTCTACTCTACCTTCGAGATCGATGACGACTTGCGGGAGAGCTTCATCCGCGACTATCAAGCCGACCCCCACTTTCGCGACAAGTACGCGAATTGCTCCTCTCCGAATCCGGTGCCTTCGCATTATCGGATCCAAGAGGGCTACTTACTTGTGCATTCACGGGGTAAGGATCTTCTTTGTGTACCGAGTGATTCACACTTGCGCACACGGCTTCTTGGCGAGTTTCACGATGCGCCCGCCTCCGGATATTTTGGTGTCAACCGTACACTTGGCCGACTTCGCCAATGGTTCTATTGGCCCGACCTTCTCAAGGACGCCACCCGCTATTCTGAGTCGTGCGAAGTCTGTCGGCATTGCAAGTCACGCAATCATCGTCCGTTTGGCGAGCTACACCCACTACCAGTTCCCCTTGGGTGACGGGAAGCGATTGCTATGGATATCGTCGGCCCCTTCCCGAAGCACAAGACCGGCGTTGATGGGATCCTCACGGTCGTCGACCGCCTCACCAAGTACGCCATGTTTTTGCCTTGCCGCTATCACGCAAAGGCACCGGAGTTAGCCGAGGTCTTATACACCGGTTGGATTCACTCCAAGGGCTACCCCAAGGAGATCGTTTGCGACCGGGACACTCGCTTTCTCTCCGACTTTTGGGTCACCCTCGTCAAGCGATGGGGCTCATCTTTGAAGCCGAGTTCAGCTCGCCACCCGCAAACCGATGGTCAAACGGAAAGGGCGCATCAAACTGCTCAAGTCCTTCTACGCACTCTCATCCGTTCCGACCAGGTTGATTGGGTTGAGCGCTTGCCAGACGTGGAGTTGGCTTACAACTCATTGATCCATCCGGCTATCGGGATGTCGCCATTCGAGTTTGAGCATGGTTCACCCATCTCATCGCCGCTGGATGCCACTTTTTGCCGTGCACAGCCGAAAGCGACGACCATCTTGCGTTCCTTCGTCGCATTCAAGAGCTTCTTGTCAAGGCATGGGATCATATGTCGAAGACGCAAATACGGATGAGCCGTCAAGCCAACCGCAATCGCCTTCCTTGCCCATTCCGCGCCGGCGATCTGGTTTGGGTCTCCACCGCGGAGTTCATCCTTGAGCAAGACATCTTTCGCAAGCTCCTTCCCAAGTGGATGGGGCCTTGGCGCATTCTCTCTGCAGTTGGTGATGATCCCGAGGGGCCTTCATTCCGCATCGCGGTGCCACCTCACTTGCCCGTCCACACGGTATTTCACTGTTCCAAACTCACTCCTTTCGTCCCAGCGGAGTCCGACGAGTTTCCCGGTCGACGTACGCAAGACCCTCCTTCCATGGACGGATTTCAGGAGGCCGACTACTTCATCACCGGCCGGCGCCATGGCAACAAAGAAACAAAGTTTCTACTTCACTTTTCCTACTGCAGCCACAAGGCTGACCGTTGGCTGACGCATTCGGAACTGCAGGCCACAGTTCCCGCCGTTCTTTCACGTTATCTTAGCAAAGGGAAGACTACGCCGAGCACTCCAGCTTCTCGCCTTCCTCGCTACATTCTGCCATCGGATCAGCAGCTTCGCCTGCGGCCCAGCTCGTCTTCATAAGGAGGGGGGCGTGTTACATGCTGAAAGCCTACACACGGGCCCCTCACGGGACCCGAGGTTGGAATAGGGCCCCCAGGTCGCATCACCGCAACCTGAAGGCCCTATGGCATTTTTACTTGGGCCTGCATCAGAAAAACGCCAGCTTTAGATTATTTTTATATTCTTTTATTTATTTATTTGCTGCTGTTTTTCTAACGGTTGTACTGTTGTCCATTTTGTGGCCAGGTACACGTTTTAGGACCAGGGCCAGATTCAGGCCCAGAGGCTGAGCTCCTAAAAACGTTTGGACCTTTTCTTTTGTTTTCGAACAGATTGCTACCTGTTCGGACCCAGGCCGACGTTGAGGCCGGGTACGTCCGCACAGGACCGGTTCGAAGCCAGGTACCAGGAAACTGAATCCTGGACAGGGCCTGGACGTCCGGTAGGGACCYAGGCAGGYCGTTTTAGGCCAAGGACTGAACCAGTTTCAAAGCCTGCGATMTGGACCGTGGATCGGAGTTTCGATCTGCACGGCCCAGAACGCAGGCCGTGGGTTTTCAGTCCTGGCCCAGCGCTACTTGAGCTGGGCCGTTGCCCAGTTTGTGGACAGAAGGTACCAGGAGAAATCCAGCGTTATGCTGGTTCAGGAACTTCGCTGCTGCGCTATTTTGGAGACTCCCTGCTGAGTTATTTTGAGACTGGCTGCTTCCCAATGCTTCCACGTGGACGGAGGACGGCGTGGATGATGCAGATGACGGAGCAGTGGTCGTGGAGCCACGACGACGATGGCGACGAAAATGGAGATCGCGGACGACGAAACACGTTGGCGGAGGAGCACGTCCACGAACGATGACGTCGACGAAGGAGCACGTGGACGGAGGCAGCGTTCAAGTCCTTGAAGTGCGGCACGTGGGCGAAGAGGACAGTTGTCGCGACGGGGACGCGGGACCACTTGTTTGATGCGCATGAAGGGACATTGTTCGCGCAGCATGATGCGGGAGCGTAGAGCGGCGAAGCGGAGTTGCAGGCGCGCGACGACGGGCAGGTAGGCAGACGGTGCGAGAGGGAACCGTGGCTAAGGAACCACTGCGGTACGGAATGGCGGGCGGAATGTCCTTTTTCTACGTACTGCGATGTGAAAGTACACCGTGGACTTGAGTCCCCGTCCACTACAGCCCGCCCCTTCGTCGCTCGCCCATGGTCCGTTTTCCTTCGGAGGCGCATGTCATCCCTCGCATGGCCAACATCGAAAGTGGGCGTGCAGAAGGACCCTGGCGGAGATCGAAAAAGCCCACCACCAACGACCCCCTCCCGGCCGAAAATCACACCCTTCTCCGAGACTCCCGGAGTTCTCCATCCATGCGTGTCGGCGACGCCTCACTACAACAGTCGTAATATTCTATAATCAAACGACGTAGTGTAACACTGAAGGACGCGCCGCGGGGCATGAAAGCAATCATACCCATTCTACAATGAAATCATCAAATAAATGCATACTGAAAAAATAAAATTAGCCGTGCGGCCAAAATACAACCAGCCGATTGTACACAACCTGCACATCTCGTCACTGCAGCACGCAGGACAATTACGGCACGCGTGGCGGGAAGACGTCATGATCGCTCGCGGATCGCTTTAGCAATCTCCATAAGTGCTTTGCACATCATCAAGTTCGTCTGGTCGACCTTGACGTAGTGTTCCTTCTGCACGTCAACCTCTCGCTCCAAAATGTCGCACTGCATGGTCAGAATTGAGCACTGTCTCTTGCTCGCGCTGTCCACGGTTGTCGCCATCAGACTCCTGTGATCCTTCATCACGTCTGCAATTGTGTCGAAGGTCTGTTGTCTCACATTCTTCCGTTTGCTGCCCCCGCCAACACCACCGCCGCTGATAGAATCCCTCGCGGACGCCTGATCGTCGTCCTGTCAATCCCCGCCCCCCTCACTACCGCGGATTCATTCCGACCTCCGCGTGGGTCGGACATTTGAACACCTCCAGTCGCACCGGTGTCGGCGAGATTGGTGGGGTGTATGGTGTGATCACTCCTGGTCATCGCCGCCATCTCCGAATACACACGCTCATCCATCCGGAAATCGAACCCCCGCTACTTCCTCTCGCCTGGCGTTAGTGTGAAGAAATTTGGCTTCCCCGATTCTCCCATAAACTTGTGCACGGTTTTGAATTGCTGGTACAGGCTGTCCCATTTCTTCTCGCAATCGACGGCCTTTCTACTCATCACCCCCATTTGCACCAGCCTCTTCTCCACGTCGTCCCACTTCCATGTCTTCGTCTTCATCCTTCCCGTGGTGTGCGCGAGGCCGACAAGATGCGAATCCTGGTCTCTTTTTGCCCGGATGAGAGCAATCATGTGCTCCACAGTCCAAAAATCCCAGCTTTTCGATCCCTCGCCAGCCGACCCATCTTCCACACCCTTCTTCCCCCTCCACCCCGTTCGTGTTTCCGACAACTTTTTCACGGCCCTCGACCCTCCCCCTCCCTACTGGACGAATCTCCATCTCCTCGTCGTCCTCCTCGTCGTCGTCACCGGCCCCGTCGTCCGCCTCGCATTCCTCCGCAACTGCACCATCTTCATCACCTAATATATCGTCCGCGTTGTCACTGGAGCCGGTGTGCGGGTGCTGCCCGAAGCTGGGTTCACGATAACGGTGCGCGTCACCTCCTCGACACTCCCGGACCTCAATCCGAAGCTGAGATCCACCAGTCCTGCGTCATAACCAGCCGGGGTACGCCCCTCCAGCAGATCAGTGTATGTCGGCGTCGATGCCTGCCTGTGCAGCTGGCTCCCCATCCAATCCTGAGTCGAACCGCTGCCCAGAGGAAGGGTAGAACATCGTGGGTCGTCGCCATCATCGTCACTTGGAGGCAACAGTATCTCGTGGGACGGCAGGTGGCTGTACAGTGCGGGGTCGTACGGCCGCCTGACTGCTTCCGCACTTCTGCAGCGCTGACGTGACGACCCCGCAGCCCCAACGGACAGCGTGGTCCTCGTTTGTACCCTCTCCTTTCCTGGCCGTCTTCGACGTTCGCCGCGTCTGTTTCCTCCCTGGAACGCACACGAGGCAGCAAATATGGAAGACGACAACGGCAAGCAGCAGCACAACGGCGAGCACTAGCAAAGGCAGCCTGCGGTACACGTCTGCCATGAACGACAGGGCAGCAGAAACAAAAGACGCACTTGCGCTGTGGCAAGCGCGGCGAACGGAGACAAATGGTGCGAGAGGGAAGACGCCAACGAATGAAATTCATGCAATCTCGAAGCTGGCTGCAGGAGGGCACTTACAAAAT